ACTGGCGGCAGCCCGTAAATAAAATATATGCAAAGTCCACTCTCCACTGTATCAAGAAGCTTGCTACAAGGAGACACGGTCTGACACGGCTCCTGGCGCCACAGTTTAGCACGAATCAGCAACTCGCCGACGAAGCCTCATACTGCAAAAAACCAGTCAGCCTCAGCCGCCATCGTCGTCAGAGTCCTCGTCGGCGTTCATCAAGATGGGCATGTTGGGTCCAACGAGGAGTGGCCACACCATGGTCCTGAAGCTTTGCGAGTCTACCTCCGTCTTTCCTTCCAGGACCCCGAGCCCCCGTGTGCTCACAAGGATTGCTACCAAGTCGAATCTCCAAAAGTTCCCTTGTCTAATCTCGTCTATGCTGGGGCGCGCCACGACAAAATCCAGATGGCCATAAATTTCATCGTCCGTCATAGCAACCATCTTGAAAAGACTGATCTATTCTGCACCGAAGCACTAAAGCGGACTTTCGAGCTGGAAGGCCGGCAAGTGCCAAGCAATGACGGACATGTGCACGAAAACCGCTGATCGGATAACTTCAAGCGGCGGAGAGAGAACCGTCATGTCTCAAAACCCGACCCACCCCTGGCCGGTTCAAACTCCTTCTAATTGCAGTTGTGCGTGGAGACACCCCCCACCGGGCAGTCATCAAGTTGGGATAGGCATCCACGAAAGCCGTTAAATGCTGCAGTAGTAGTCAAGCCCGGCCCTATCAATTACATGCTGCCTCAATGTTCATTACAGCTTGTTGTTTGGAGGTCAGGTTCCGGACATTTTCCGGACGATGATGACTATTTGCATCTTTCGCAGCCCACAGTGCTCAAGTCGGAACGGCGTGTGCAGGACCTGGATCTGCTTTTGCAGAGGCGGTTTGCACAAAGAGATCCCGTCAGGGGCTTTGCCGCACGGCCATGCCTCCGGCATGGCCTACGCAATGCTGTGATCACATCGCGGTGGTGCCGCAGCATGCCGTAACTCTCGAGAGGCTCTTGCCTGAGGTTGCACTGCCTAGTGCCGCGTCTTTTGGTGCTCATCCTTAGCTGGTATTTCGACATATATCTCGACCATACTGTGTAGTAACATATGCGGGCCTGTACCCCTATACAGTTCTGCGGGAAGGTTCAGAAAGCCATGCAGCCTTGCTCAGATGCTGAAACTTGGAAGGCCATGGAGGCTCTCAGGAGGCTGAGTCGAAATTCCTTAAGAACCCCTTTCCAAAGACTCTGAAATCCAAAAGCGGCTCCGAAGTCACACAAAAACTTTCTTTTTTGCAGCAGCATACATTGACATCTATGACATCTATGTGCTGGTGTCAGTCTAGCAGCCTAGAGCCACTGGCCCAGCACCACGTCTTCGGAGTTGCAGGAGATGCTCGGCTATGACGGCGGCAACGGTGTATACAAGATGCGCGTCAAGAGATGCAGACACAGTTCGCTGACGATGCGCCTCCTGCAACAAAATCTGATACTTGCAGAAGCCGGATTGAAAGCGCGGAACTTCGAGGCTTCGCTACACACTAGACCGTTGCTGGCAGGAACGCCTGAGTTCTCTCGGGCATGAATTGTTGGGGCTGCGTGCATCAACGAGCGATAACTAGCGGACTGCATCAATAGTCATCGCCTGCCTGATATGGACCACCTGGTCCCCGAATCGCAACGCATCTCACAGCAACCATGAAGCATTTCGAAAGTGTGCACGTGCCCACCCGCTTCTCCAGGCCAGTCCTTGTTGGACAAACTTCTCCAGACTTGTCGGTGTTGCCGTACTCCTACTGAGACCAAGGGGTTGGCGAAGGAACCCTGAAAAGTAAGGGATAGGTTGGAAGCCCCGAAAGAACGGAAAGGAGAATCCCGAAACGGGGAGATGATGATTTCTAGGGCGGCAGTGTCAGATGATGTCGCATGCTTCTCTTGACATTCCGATGCAGTCTGCCGTGCACCTGGCCTCTTGCATGAGATCACGCGGTGTAAAAGGGCCCTGGAAGAGGAAGCAAAGGCCTCCACACGTGTTGGCCCAGGTCCTCCCATCATTTCATGCGGCTTCCCGTACTGAGGATCCTGCGGCTCCACTGGAACCTGGCACAGCGTGCCGCATCGCATTCCCCAAAGAAAGGCGTGCTAGCTAGCCTTTGCGGGTTCTGACCGTCTATGTGCAGGGTCGTTTCGGGTGCAGCACATGGCGCCGTGTATCGGCGCTCGTTGCTCGATGGCTCGCCAGGACCCTCTTTGGAATAACAAGAACCGTGCAGTTCAGCATGGTGGCTCATGACCTGCGGCTCGCTAAGGAAAACGGTAGAGGTAGTTTGCCGGTTCCGGTGGGCGCTCCTTCGGGCAAATTCTGGGGGCTGTGCGGTGGTCAGGAATTCAGGAATCGTGTTCCCGATGCTCTCTTGCACATTTGCAGTGGTCTTTTTTTGGCAGCTGAGCCAACTCAGTACGACATACAGCTGAGAGGTGCTTAATGTAACTCTATGTTGGCTCTTATGGAAGGTCGTTGCAGAATGTATTCGAGGATCGGTGGAAAAGAGGATCTCAATGGCGCATCAAACTTAGCACCCAACCATTCGAGAGAAGAGCAGGGGTGTTGCCTGCCAGCGGTGCTGCTTGGAGCGGGGCGGCTTGATCATGTCAGCGAGCAATACTTCTAGCCGGCTCTTCAGTCCGTTTCAGGGAGATGCATCATGGCATGCCAATAACTACAGCACACGGGGCAGCGTCTACCATCTGCTGTCAGTCCAGAGTTCTCTGCATTCCACGTCCGGGCGCATCCTACTCCGACCGCCGCCATGACAAGACTTGCACGCATGATACTGGACAATGCTGGACTCCAAGCAAAGCCTCCCAAGGAAGCTGGTAGCCCAGTCGCTCCAGCCGATGAAGCAACGAGAGCCTTGAGAGGGGTGAAGACGGCAAGCATTGCCAGATTCCGCAACCCCAAGCGACCAAAAAACAGGCTTGAAGCTCAGTAAACTATTGGAGACACTTGCGATGGCATGCTTCGCATCTCGAACTTCACTAACCCACGAGCAGGTTAGCAGGGTTATTGAAGATCCTCGCGCAGTGCTTCCAGGGACTTATACCACATGCTCTCTTTTGGCAGCTCAATTGGATGCATCGGTCTCGCAGTCTTCCTGGCTCTGTCTCCACGTTTTGTTGCGCTTCTCAGAGCAGAGCTTCGGTCGTTTTGTAGGCTCATGCGTGATCCGCATGGCTCACCTTGCCTTGCCTTTCTCGCCGCCTTGCCAGCTCGTCGTGCCCCGGGACGTTCCCAGACGTGCCGCTCCGCATCTTCAAGCGGAGTTGATGAGGTCCAAAAGGCGGCCCTGGTTGCAGCGCTTTCTCAGGGAGCTCGTCCTGGACGAGGGATGAACACGTCTCCTCGCATCAAGTACCTGCACGGAAGTGTAAGACAACGTCTCTGCATGTGTCTGCTCCAACTCTGAAGCACAAGAACTAAGACTTGGCTAAAACAGAGGAAACGAGACGCAAGGAACGACAAATCTCACACCGGTCATTAGTCTATCTTGGCGGAACTCGATTTGCACACATTGCAGATGTTGTGCCTGGAGGTTCGTTCGAAGCCAGCACCAACAGCATGCCATCCACGATCAGCGGAGTGTCGAACATCGGCCTTCACTTCCATAACCTTCGCTTGTTGACTTGGCTACCAGGATGTACAAGGCAAATCTTCGTGGCGGTCGAAGCTTTGCACATGCGAAAGCCAGTAATGCAACCCTACCCGCAATTGCGAATCAATGGCAACGGACTGGGCACGAATCCGCAGACTAAAGCTGCCGCCACAGGACGCCGCCAGGATGCCCGACACGAAGCAGGGCCCTCCGTCGATTCTCCGGAATGCATCGCCACGGAATGCTCTTCTCCACCTCCGTGCTGCTAAAAATAGCCATCGACTTTGAGAAGGACAACCGACAGTCCTTAAGACAACGCCTGACCGATGAAACCTTCCTGTTGGCTGATTCAAGTCTGCAAACAAATTGCAAGAATGCCTGCTGCTATCGTGATTACATTGAAACCCCTTCCCAAAGCTTCACTTCGAAACCAACCCCAAGTGTCCCGGTAAGCCGCAAAAGAGTCATCAGTCATGAGTCATAAGTCAGCGAACATGAAGCACAGACAATCTATGAGAATCTTAACATTTGACGAAGATACTCGATCACTGAACGAATTTAAAGCTTGAGGAAACAGAGCGCATGACAAGAGCTCTCACAACAAGCGCATGCAGGTGCCAAACTAGCGCTTTGAAGCCCCAGGATCTTTGGTGGCGTTCCTTGCCTGCGCCGCGCATGCGATTGCGATAGATCCGGTCCCAGTGAAGGCATGATGGATGCCTCAACGCGAGCTTGCGGCTTCGGTGGGATCGCTCGACATGTATCAAGCGGCTTGCAATCATACTCGTCAAAGACATTGACAAAGGCTTGCGTGCAAATGAAATTGAACCTATTGATGATCGAAGCTGCGACCAGGTGTGCTAATTCGAGCCAGAAGATCCATGGCCTTAGCTGAACTGGAAGCCTCAAGAATTCAAGATACCAGGCGCCGCAAGTCAAGGTAAATACATGGATGTATACATGCATGCGGGATTCACGTCAACATGCATGGCACGCAAAGAGGTGCAGCATGCACTAGCCACCTGCTGTGTGTGTAATAGCTTGAATAGCTCATGTAGGCTGATGGCATTAGCGACCCAGTCACGTTCTCGTCGACTGCATCCCCCGCGGTGCTCATGTAGCATCCAGGCTGGGCCACGAAGCTTACACGGGGCTGGTCTGAGACCTGAAGCTGTCACGCTGGCACCACTGCGCGTCTTATCACGTCTCCACCTGACCTGCGGACTTCGGCTCCGTGCGCCTCGATTCCGAAAAGGGGAGCGGCCTGCGCGCGTAACCGGTCCACGACAGGCAAGATGCGGCCTCGAGCTCTGACAAATCTCTTTGCGACTGGAAGAAGCAGCTACAAGTCTAGAGGCAAGTGGCTGTAGTCCATCTCACTGGGAAGCTCCTGACAGAACGTCTTTTCCGATCTTCGACCCGCCCAGAGAACACAAAGGATCTTGAAGCTGAATCCAGCACAGTGTCGCTACCGCGAAGGCCAACGACATCAGCCGGAACGAAGATCGTCGGATTACCTTTCCCACAACATCTTCTGGCTCCGCGATTTGAGTCCGTACCCCATCTGCAGGTCTTGCCCTTGCGCAAGCGCAAGCTAAAGTCAGCCAGAGTAGCTTAAGAATGCTACCCTACTGTACCCTACTTACCCTACTTCGTCTGTGCAGATGTCACGACATCTAGCCGAATCTAGCCCTCGCACGCCTGCCGTGACGAGCGTCGCTTCAACTTGAGAGCCATCTTCCAGCTGTAGCACAGTAATTGGCTCACCTTCGGGCATCGTGCATGCTGCGAAAGTGACGATTATTCCTCTGCATGACTTGGGGACCTGCCTCAACCGGGTTTTGCAACTCCAGAGTTCAATGGCCGAAAGGTGTTGGTAAGGCTCGGGAATGGTCGGGGTCGCCTGTTGGCAGCAGTGGCTTCGCACCGTGAGGCTCCAACAGCTCCACGTACACAGCTGGCTCACGGCCTCTGCAGGGCACGGACCATCGACTCTGCTCGTCTCTGCCTCGGCACTGGCCTGGAATCCCAGCGAGGGAGAGAAGCGAGACCTCCTCCTCTGTCTCGGCCTCGCATGCGGCAGCGGCTGAGCGGAAGACGTGAGGTGAGAGAAATCTACCCTAGCAAGAGCAAGAGCAGCAAGAGCATCTAGAAGTGCCTCCGGGATAGGGGCATCCACTCCCTTTGGCACGTGCACGTTCATCCCGTACCCCTGATTTTGCTGCCAGACGCGCACCAACTGCGAAGGTCCTCGGCTGCCAACTCAGCTGCACGCCACATGGACCGTTTCAACGCGCTGTCTTCCGCAGACTCCTTCTTACACTCTTCAACCGTTGCTTTGGGAACCAACTTGCATGGCGACATTGCATTAAGCTTTCCCAGTTCAATGGAAGAGCAAGGAAGCAACATTGTTTTCAAGCGGGAGTATGCCTTACCCATTTGGAACTCGAGAGCTGTCGAAGTCTTTCTATGCATGGCGAAGATTCCATCGAAGGCTGGCTTCACAAGATGCTCGGCCAGAGCGAAAAGACCGACTCCAGCGGAGAGATTGCCACAACTGCCCTGAGGACAAGTTTGCTCTGCAAGTGGGGTCGGCCCCGTCGCACCAAACAAGAAAAGGAAAACGACCGGAGCTAGGCCGGGCTCTCCAAGGGCTCCCAGCCTCCCAGTTGATCAAGCGCTCCTGCATGGAATGAAACTTCAGCGTGAAAAAGCACTGACCGCATTGACTTGCTGGTCGAACGATGATTGTTGGTTGCTCTTCCGAGTTTCTGAGGTCGTGAGCTTCGTTTGGATGCCGGAAGCATTTCAAGTATCGCCCCGGGCTGTGGCCCCTGTGTATTGCAGCACCAGAAGCTCCTTGATTTCGACCTGGCCGAAGAGATAGTTCACGTCATAGCCATCACCTTCGGACACCGTCCCGTCGCGAAACACCGGCATGGAAACATTTGTGCAGGTCCAGCTGCGTTGCGATGTAGACAAGATCACCACCTGAGCGCACAGGAAGCCTCTGTTGCTCAGTTTTCATTGTATTCGATGACGTGGCACTTGCCTCTGAACCAAACTGCACACGCTTTCTTAACTTTCTTATGTCCCTCCCACTGAAATGTGTGGACGTGCCTTGCTGGTTGACGAAATGCCACCGCCAAGGCCATTAAGCTGGAGGCCAGAAGGATCCTGACTGAGAACAGATCTAGCCGAATCTAGCCAAACCCAGACATTCACCAGAACTGGATTCCACATCGTACTGCATTCAAAGTCTCCGGGCTGCCTAGTGCTGCGAGGATCAGCTGGTCTCTTGCGTTGCCAGGGGGTGGCAGGTCAGCCTCGCGAAAGAAGAGGCCTGAGATTCGGTCGTTGCTTTTTCGAACGGTAGAACAGCTAACTCAGCTAACCACATGCCGAGCAACCCTTCGAGGTGCCACCTCTGATCCAGGCAGCACGCAGCGCCCGCATGCTGCCCAATAGCTTTGCAAATCTTTGTAACACAGGCTCCGGCAACCGTGTGGACAGTCGGCTGTGTTGACATGTGTCCGCTGCATTCTGACAGAGTTACGACTACAGTTGAGCCAGACGCCTGCCAAGCATGCCTGCATCGGCAGTCTTGCGATCATGCTCACAGCAAATACTCCTGGGCCAGATCATGTCAAGCTGGAAGCTTACCGGGTAAAGATTCAATTCGGAAGCGCCGGAATGCCGCATAGACCACAGGTCTCAACAGCACTCAAGTATCCGCCAGCATGTATCAGCAACTATCATTAACTATCAGCATGAGGAGTATAAGTGCACAAGCATCCCAGCGAAGCCCGGCTTGCGGCACCCAGTAGCGCGACACAGCGAGGCGTGCGTCACAGGTTGTGGCAACAGACGAACTGAACCCTCAAAATCTGGTGCAGGCAAACCAAGGGAGTCTGCACTTTGAACTCTGAACCAATAGACCACGGCCACATGGAAAACACGGGAGTAAGTTGATGACGCTGGACCGCGCCAATCGATGAACTCAGTGGGTCCATCCTTGTCTCGCAGCAGTTTGTGAGAGCATGGGTCCATGAAGGCATGCAGCACCTAGGTCTACTCACGAATTCTGTGATCTGCTACGACACCTTTGACAATGTGCACGCAGACAGACCGTAGGAGGCGCACGAAGCGCCGGCGGCGGCGTCTGGATTCATCTTCGTCCAACGCCCACGGCCCCTGTAGCATACGATAATCCCACATACTGCGTTCGGCAGGAGTGTGTGTATTGACCGTACGCTCCAAGCCACAGCCCAGACTCAACAATGGAGTCTAGAAAGTCACAAGGCAAGAGAGGAGTGCCTCCGCAGGCTTCCAGGCACCCATGAAAAGGTGCTGGACAAGTGCGTTCTCGCTTTCGTTACACGGGCCTGGCAAGGACCACAACACGCCGCAGCGCAACACTGCAGCGTGTTTGCATATCATAGGTCGGAATGCATGTAAACTAAAGTTTCTGACCTGCGGGCTCGCGAAGACATGTCGGCCGTTCGGCTTCCACTGTGGGGCTGTCCACATCCAAAGCCATGGATGTTCAGCCTGCAGGCGCAGTTTCTTCATCTGAAGTTATGGTCTCTGAGCTGTAGACTGTTCTCACGGCACCCGCCGTCCTTGAGACGAACAGCCAAACAGCTTTCAGAAGGCGAATGAGCCGGCAGCTTTGAGAAGGCGAATGTCAAGCAGACCTAGCGTTCTTGCCTCCAGTCAGTCTACAGATAACAAGATCAAGAGGAGTTGTTGCAATTGCCGCAAAGGACGTTCAGAACACAGGGGCGCAGCTTCTATCTTCTGGCTCACAGGCCCGTGGTCTTGCAGAGACAGAATAAGGATTGTAGTAGGAATCCCCGTATTCTGGCTTCTTCCATCATTGAGAAGCATAATATGATGTCTGCTCGGGTCCCGGCACAACCGTGTCGGAGGAGACGGACGCCGCAGAAAAGCCGAGCACGCTGGCCATGGCCTCCGCCGGCTGCGTCGCCATGGTTTTCAAGCTCGGGTGCTCGGGCACTCGTTTGCAAACACCCCACGCACTGTTGAAAAGCTGCAACGAGCCTTGAGCCCCCCACCATTGGGCGAGTTCTCCTGGATCCTTCCAGTCACGACCTACCTTGAAGCGCAACTCGGCAGGTTCGAGCCCGAGGCACCACTCGTCCACAAGGAGTGTGAGAAGCCCGGGCCCCATCGCCACGCTGTGCCTGAGCACCAAGAAGGGCTCTGAGCTCAGCCACAGGCCAGCCCCAGGGAGCGCGCTGGTAGTGCGCCAATGCCGAGAAGCCAATCGCAGGCCCAGGCCTCCCCCCAAGAACTCGTCATGCTCATCAGCTTTGGACACTGAGAGCCTGACGTCTCTAGGTAGCGGGTGAGGGCACGAAGCATGACCGGGTGTCCTGCAGACGCATCCGTCGAGATTATCCGGGCCTCTTTCTTTGGGGTGCTTCTGCTCGCCTGGTGCTGCGGCCAGAGCCCAGGCTGTCAGTTGCAGCCGACCCGACCAGCCTCAGTCTGCAGTCGCGCAAGGATGGCATGCGCGTAGGTTGAGCAAGTAAGCAAGCAGGTAGGTCTGTAAGTATGCAGGAAGGCAGGCAAGCAGGCAGGCAGGCAGGCAGGCAGGCAGGCAGGCAGGCAGGCAACTAGGTAGGTAGGTGAGTACAGAAACTAAGGAAGCAGGCAAGTAAGGATGTAAGTTGGAAAGTAAGCAAGGAAGTAAGTAGGCAAGTCAGCAAGGAAGCAAGCAAAGGTACGTAAGTACGTAAGTAGGTAAGTAGGAAAGCATGTAAGTAAGAAAGTAAGTAAGTAAGTAAGTAAGTAAGTAAGTAAGTAAGTAAGTAAGTAAGTAAGTAAGTAAGTAAGTAAGTAAGTAAGTAAGTAAGTAAGTATGTATGTATGTATGCATGTGTGTATGTATGTGTGTGTACAGTACTTATGTCGTACGGATGTATGCGTTTATGCTTGCATGTATCCACGCATCCATACATCCATACATTTATCGATCCATCCATGCATGCATACTAAGCCACTAAGCATAACATACATACACGTAAATGTTCGCTGATTGCATCTTAAGGCAAAAGATACTGATATTGCTCCTCTCTGATCTAACTACAGCTGGCTGTATCAACTAGGCCCGGGCGCCCCCCTTACCTGGGGCACCGGCGCCATGCCTCGGCTTCCTTGGCGGAGCCGCGGCACTCAAGGCCCACCTCACAGTCTCCCAAAGACACTGCGTAAAAAAGAGGTTTGGGGTTCAGGGGCTTAGGGGTATAGTAATGTATAGTACGAGCTGCTCTGAGCCAGCTTGGCCCTGGCATGCCCTGGCTTTGAGGTGCGGGCCATCAGCTGAATTTTCGCAGATGATCCTGCGACATCTGCCCTGCCGGGGCGCGACTGCTCGAATTTCTAACAGCCGAGAATACTGATCAGAAACCACTGGAGAAAACAAAGCAAGCTGCACCTACCCTCCACGGAATTCATCCAATGTTGCACGTGTGTTTTTGTTTCGAACATTCTGGAACGCGAGCCCTCGCATCAGTCCTGCACGCTTCCTCGAACCAAGCCGATGGCAACTGCAGCCTGGAGATCTCTCCAAACGGACGGCATCCGTCAGATTCCCCTACAGGATCCAGCTGCTGCGATGCAGCAACTGTAATTGAGCATGAGGCGGCATGACATCGGCATCGATGAAAAATCCTCCAACAATGCCAAGTACCTTTCCGAAGACTTCGCTGAAGCGGTACGTAGGGTGATGCAGAGCAGTGTTAGCATGCGATGGGAGGAGACAACTCGTGGCACAAGAAATCTCTTTTGCCAGGGGCTTGCGGCATACATGAAGAAGTCCTTTTGCCGCTCAGGCCACCTCCCGAGACTTCCAAACACACACGACTGCCCTTGCGTGATGACCTCTAGCTGTTACCGTTCTCCACGACATGCCTGGCTGCCTTCGCTTCAGTGCATCTCTGCGCTCCAACTAGTTGCACGGCTCTTCTTAGAGCGAAAACATCGCTAGTGAACAGCCGAGCTGCCTTGCCAGGCGCTCAAACCCGTCTGCCAAATGAGGGTACCGGTCAAGGACAGATCTCACCGAGGAGCGGTTCCAGACCTTGCCGCGTGTCGCAAAGACAAAACTTCGGGTCTGCTTCACGGAGTGAGGCCCCTGCCTGGTGTTGCCAAGGCTTCGGTGAGTCGCGTAGCCTTGACATGCAAGAACTCGTAATATGTGAAATTGCTTTAAGATGACACCGTGGGAGCAGTGCAACAATTCTGGCTACAAGCATCTGAGCATCTGGACATGAACCTGTCAACCTTCAGACACTCAATTCATTCACTCGATCACAAGCCCAACGCGCTGCGACTCGCCATTGTCGAATGGCTTCTACGATGTCAGGACCTCAACCAGGCACAGCTTGAAACTAGCAAAAGTGGGGACGCAACACACACACACACACACAGACACCTCCCCCAGCAAATGGACAAAAGGCTAGCAGTGGTATTCTGAGATTTTGGCGCTCGGGCTCTCGGTCCTGGAACGTCACACCTCGCAAAGACTCGACGCGAATTGCACATTGTGCCGAAATGAGTGACGACGGCTATCAGGAACGGCCTGGCTGCTGAGGTGACATCCACAGTTGGTGGATGATGCGAGGAATCCGGATCCCGTCCTGCCAAGGCAGTGGTGTCAGACAATCTGTCCGCACAGCTTCCAGGGCATGCAAGAGATCAAGAGGATCAGCAGGTGGGCCAGGGAGGCGAATTCTACGGAACCAAGTCTCTGGAGCCAACACTGCTTACACTTTTCCTGCCGTGCTCAAAGGCTTCTTGTCGTTGTTGTGCGGGTGATCACCCTGCTCGTCACCGCATATCACCGCTACCAATCATCCCACCACGCTTAACTTTGTGGCCGCGCTTGCCGTGAAACATACTGTCGTCCTGACCAGAACCATAGTCAAGCTTGCCACTGCTAACCCTCATGCAGCATCACCAGACCAAGCAGCACTTGTAGTAGTGGTGGGGGCAGTAGTGACCGTCGTCGTCGTCGTCGCAGAAGCAGCAACACGAATAGGAGGAGGACCGGGAGAGGAGGTAGTCTAGTATTTCGCAGGAGTCGCCTTAACTGGTGGCTAGTAAGTACTAGTAGCAGTAAACTGTAGTAGGAGGTGACGGTACACAGTCAGCAGTGGCAAATAGTAGTGAACAGCAGAAGTGAAGAGTAGTACATAGCAACTTAAACCGCAATACGGCATAGTAGGGAATAGCAGGAAATAGTAAGCAGTAGTTGTGGTGGTACTGGCAGCATATATCGTCGTCAGCGGTGCTGTTGTAGAGTTGTGGTTTGAGAAGATGCTGGGTGGGGCTATCCGTGCTAACTCATATCCTTAGCTTCGCAAACATTGCCTATTCCAGTAACGAAAGCTACAAGAAAGTCTACTGCTGCTTCCATTTCCGCCGCCCCATTAATCAACCCCCCTCTTCAGAGAACAAAATCCTCGGATCCTGATCGGAATCAAGACGCTGGGTATCCTTCTATGAAGCATCAAAGCAAATCCGCAAGCTATCCGTCTTACGACTCAATACGGTTGCGAAGCCTGGCAGAGCAGCTGAGATCCGACTGCGACAGCATCACGCACCTGGGCAGCAACTTGCGCGGAAGGTCATCCGCTTTGACCGCAGTTCAATGATTTAGGCACGGTTCTGGGCAAGCAAACTGTCTGCGGCTTGCTTGCTGCGACATGAGTCGTTTGTTTCAGCATCATGAATAGCCTTTCCCTTCGGGGATCTGCATCGGCAACAAGGTATAGTAAAGTCTTTGTGTTCACGTTGATCTTTTCTTGATCGCTGTCGCAGTCATCGTCTTCGGTCTCTCCAACATCCTCCTCGGCCTCACCCGATTCGATCGCAACCTCCTGCGATGAGCGCATCAGCGGCCATTCTAGGAGCCATCAACAAATCTGTTGCACAGAGTGCCACCTCGTCAAACTCGCGACGTTCCGCCTCCTCCAATGCAGCCTCATCTGCAAACTCCTGCAACAGGAACGCCCTCCAATCTTCAGAGCTGACTTCTGGCTATCTTGCAAGTACCTCGCATTCTACGACTCTGGCTCTCCTTGTTTCGATGGAAGAGGGCCACTGAGCGGCAGTGCTCCAGAAACTCTTGAAGTCCCCATCGGTACCTCAGGATCAATCCGACCAGAGGCCACGAATGCCACCAGAAATCTGGCCGGGGCACTTCATGATGTTGCAATCTCCACAGCATGCAACCTTGCGGATAGCATGCATGTGCGCAGCATGTCGAATGAGTACCCGGTGGAAGCTACCATACACCCAGTGCGCCGCTCCAATTGGTAAACCAGATCGCTTCTGTCCAAGCGACCGTGGTCTCTTTGGCGTAGACACGATTCTCTGAATCCAGCCTGTCTAGCCCATTGAAATGCCCACGATCGTGCGGGCCGTTGGTCTTTGGCTTCCGCGGCTCCTCACGGTTTGGGACTGAGCAGTTCGAACCAGGCCACCTCCGTGCAACAGCCTTGCCGCAGTAGAAGCACGGCCCAGAGACGATGGCATTGAACTGCTCGTTTGTCAGGGAATGCGTCTTCCTCGGCACTGCACACCGCAATGCCAACCCGAGAGCAGCATCTGAATGACTGAGTCATGATGCACAGCCAAGGCGCGTGTGAGTGCTAGACTGAGAAATGTAGCAGGAACGCGATCTTCTTGACACATTGTCGCGGAATCTATGGGGATACTCGCCGAAATTTTCTCCTGCCACGGAAGGTGAATTGCATGGCCCTCACAATCCAGCACTGAACGCACTACTGAACGCGCACTAGCAATGCGATCTGTCTGGAGTCCTTCTGTGTGCTTGGTAGCAATATGCCGGCAACATTCGACGAATCCTGAGATCCTTCGATGGCCTGAGCTGTGACACCCAGGACTCGCACAGCAGCATCATGCAGCATCTGCTGCTCAGGCGGCAGCCTTTCATCATGTTGCACATCGTGCACGCTGGCGCGACATTGGCCTACAAGACGACAACATGAAGCCGGAGCTCTGGAACATGCCCAGCATTTTGGGAACCAACGGGAAGGTGCTGAAAGGATCCTCTGCTGGAGCCCCCGCAAGAAATACAGCACGTTGCAACCACAGCGGGCTTTGTCATGGATGGTGTTTACGAGATTTTGCCAAGACGGATGATTCTGCAGACAGTTGTGCAAACGTGAACATTGGGCAGGCTGACAAGATCTCTTTTCACTGTGCTGGCCATTCGGGCTTGGGGGTTCAGGTCGTCCGTGACTGCTTGACTTTGTGATGCGAATCCTGACACAGCTTCAAGCGCCTCAGCATACGGACCCATGAAACCTCCGCGGTCTGGCTTCGCAACTCCTGCGTGGGACGATGCCAGGTAATATCGCAGTGATGCTATGACCCGAACTGTGCTAGCAACATCGCTCACTTTGGCAGGCGGTGCACTGCAAACTGATAGAATTTGGTGACAATAGCTAGGGTGCGGGCAGCACGACTACTACTACTACTACTACTACTACTGCTACTATTGCTGGTGCTCCTAGTTGTAGTGCTCGTGCGGTGCTGGTTCTAGTTCTAGTGCTAGTTCTAGCGTGTTACTGGCGCGCACTTGCATTAGACGTTGCTGTTTTTGTTGCTGGTGGTGGTGCCGCTACTGTGCAGATGGTCGATGCAGGCTGAGGTTCTTGCAGTTGACGTTTATTGTGATCAGGGCTACTGTAGCACCTTCAATCTCCTGTCATCTCCTCGAGAGTGGGCGTAGTGCTCGTGTCGCCCTTTTTAACCGGGGTTGAAATTGCGCGACTCTGGTGGAGCCAGACGTGGCCCACAGGTGGTGGGCAAGGGTGTAGCAAAGTGGTCGCAATTCTGACATGGCGCTTTGTTCGTGTGGTGTTGCTTGTTTCGGTTGCAGCTGTCGGTCGAAGCAATACTCGAACCGATCTAAGCTTGACTGCATCGTAGTTGTTGTCTGTTGTCTTCGCAGTCCTACTGTCCTGATATGTCCTGATACTGGGTTTGTATGGGTGCCACGTCGACTCACTCTGAAAAAAAAGCAAGCCTATGCTTATGCTGCCCTCCGATCTCCAGACCCTCCTGCAGGCCAGAAGCGCAGCCGCGTCAGGCCATGGCCGCGCTGCGGAGCCGGCACCCCGCATCCGAAGCACGGGCCTCCAGGAGCCGTCGACAGCAAAAACCAATCATTTGGCGTTCTTTAGGAAGTAATTAATTATATCATCCCCGAGTACATCAATGCTTAAGATGAAAACGAAGAGTAATTGCAACGTACAGCCCCAGCTTTGAAGCACTGCACAACTTGCCTCGCATCAAGGCGCACGCACTTTTCTCCGAGATTAGGAATGGCACCCCCTGCCTCGGACAGAACAGATTCAAACGAGGCAGAAACTCGCAAGATGACACAAAAAATCACAGCATTCTGTGTCACCGGCTTTTCGGCTATTCGCCGATACGCGCGGAGCCGTTGAAGTTGCGGAAGCTCGCCGACGCCCTGCATAGCGTCCGCAGACTTCTTGTATGTCGGGAGCCTGTCCAAGCACCACCACTGTAATACACCTTGTTGCAGGCTCATTGCAAGATTCTGCCAAGATGCTTATGCCGCAATGGTTTGCGGCAGCGCGAGCAGACAGAAGGATCCACAGATGGCGGCGCATCAAGGTCGATCACCTCTGCCATGGTATGCAGCACAACGAGCTGCCGAGACTAATCTCCGAGTCAACAAAAGCTGTAAGACCGCAGGAAGAGCCGGAATTGCAAAATGTTCAATACATTGGGAAAGAGAGAGAAAGAGACAAAGCACTGGATGGGAATGGCAGCTCGCGACTGGTGGCTTCGTAAGGCCGGGCCGCCTGTGGTGTTGGTACCGGCGCTGCAGCAGCCGCCTTTCATCACAAGATCTCGCGACGCCATCGAACAGAAGATCGTCGAACCCCACTCGGCGGACCGTCTTTGTCTTTCAACCCCACTGAGCTGCTCCCTCTGCACAGCACGTAAAGACAAGACACTCTCTGCTTATTATACTTGTTACTTGTTCAGTGCCACACTGAGCTTCCTTCTTGAAGAAGTTGGTGACGCTTAGCTGGACCGAGGCGTCGCTCGCCCGGCGGCAGCTGAAGCAAAGCACTTCAACGACAGCGTCCTCCTCCTCTCGGGCTGAGGCTCAAGACTGAATCCAATTGGCATGATTAGACAATCCGAGACATGCGCTGCCTTAGCTTGGCGATACTTCGGCTTGAGGGCCCCTGCCAAGTCACAAAGAGCAGCACCATATGCAAGCACGCGATAGCACGCGTAGCATGCCGCCTTCGCCTGTGTGGCTTGCTTTTGCTTTCTTTCGCGCAGCTTTTGCCTCTGTCTTTTCTGGTGGGTCCTGCCACATGCATGTCAAATGTCCCGGACGCTACCAACAAGTGCTGCAAGAAGGTCGAAGCAGTGTGCAAGTGCCATCACTGCCATCCTCTGAGACCGCTTGTCGCTTCTTTGATTTGGGGGTTTTTCGCTTCTTCGCACCATGCGAAGGCATCGAGGCTCAGCACCTGTTAAACGAGCAGAGCCGCAGAGCTGCATTCGGCTCAAGCAGAATTGACGATCGCTCCTGCTGCACAGAGCCAGCAGTCATCCAGCCGACGCCATGGATTCTAGGGCTCGTCGATAGTTGGCAGCATACTCATTACTGGTAGGACATGCCGATCTTCTCGATGAGGCTGCTGAAGCATTGGTGGCTCTTGTGGCACTGTAATATGCAGAAACATGTGAAACAGCCGTCCTCGCCAAAAGGATTCAACTTCGCATCCAGCTATGGGTTTTTGTGCTTGCAGAGCCCAGCATCGCACCACATGCCCGGCCCAGCATGCACAACCGTTCTGGAAACCAACTCTTTGATTCCCTAGCTAACTTAGAAACGGTCTTTACCTGAAGCACTCATGCTAGCGATCTCGAGCTAACTGCAACGTCAGAACTCAAAGGTCAGCGAACTTGGTGCGAGATTGGCTTCGCAAGCTCAGCCGCTGACGCTGAGGAACAGCAGAGTCCCCTGAAGGACTTCACAAAGGTTGAACTGAGCCGCTCCCACAGGTTCATGAGTGATTCAGCACCATGATTGACCTGCCTTGTAGATCGTCTTCATGAAAGGCTGCGGCTATGGCCCATGCTATTTGCTGCCTGAGCGCGAGACATGGAGATCTGCGAGCATCACATTCCAGATCGCCATCTGACTGCAGCTGTTCTGCATCGTTGCAGTGGCAGCCTCCAGCTCCTGAAAGCAGTCATGAAAATAAGCGAGGAGAACCCACTGCCAAGATTGCCAATACTCTCTTCACACTGAGAAGAAGGCCATGCTCTTTTCCGGTGCGGGTCGCGGGTGGCCATCGGCCATCAGCATCTCTGAATGCGCGAAGCTCGTCACTGCCCGATGAAGCCCGAAGTTATCTTGTCTGCTTGCCTCCTTCCACTCCTCGTCATCACGAGGGAGATCCTGAGTCCTTCCACGCCTTCTGCGCTGAAGGCGGGTATCTTAGCTTCGATATCTTGGTCTGCTCGGCAACGAGTCTGTGCAGCCGTGAGTAGCAGGCTGTCGTCTCAAGATCCCAGCGAGGAATCCCCGACATCACCGGCAATGAAGGATCTCAAGTGCGTCCTTCTCCTCCAACCTCGGACTGCGAGGAACCCCGCTGAATGTCTCCCCTCACCTGATGCGTCAATGCTGAAGCAAACGTTTCCTGACTGCACAGCACGCTGGATCGAAAAGCCGGCCTAGCCTTACATCCAATCATTCATTCTACATACAAGCGCCATTGCATCAACAGTGGTCTTTGCAGAACACGCCACTGACCAGAATCATCCCGTATGGTATGTCGATTAGCGAAGAATTTACATTGTGCCGCAGGGCTGTGCTGCACAGTATACTTCGTTGCGAGATCATATTGATTCATGTATCATTATGCTGTTACGCCAGACAGAGGCTCTGGCAGACTGCTGTCGTGAATTGCAGCTTCATGCGCATGCCGTCGTAGTGAGTTCATCCCACCGTGTTTGGTTTTCTTCTGCCCGCTGCTATACGCTGTACTTTCGCCATACAGATACATACTGGTACATGCTATATGCTGACACGAACAGAGACTGCAAAAGACATCTACACTGTAGCTTACGTCGCATAATGTCGCATGTTCTTTGGCTGGTGCAAAGATCATCTTCGATTGTTCGATGACCTAGCTTCTAGAGACGTTTACCCTACCATCGTTCTCAACATCGAACTTGACCTCTCCGGTGGTCGTGCCGCAAACCAGGCCCCAAACCAATTTTCCTCTGTCCTGCATGACATTACACCTCCAGGTCCAGAACCCGATCTGCTTTGCCCGCAGTTTGCCCCAAACCTCGAACTCATTCCCTTCACCCTTTACATCCTCACCTTACGCGCCGCACCATAACTACCCGAAGCCCTCGTCTGACATTCAAGGTGCAGCATACCAGCCAGACAGAATCTTGGCTGCAGAGGCCGGCTCCACACCGAATCCTCCGCTCAAAACGTGGCGCAGGGAAGGGAAGGGTTCATGTCGGGCTTCATGAAGGGCTTAGGCAGGTGGGTGATTCTTGATACAGAGATTTTTGTCAAGGCTTGTGTAGAGTGTTACCGGTTTCTTTCGAGGGTGCGGCAGGTTGCTGTAGAGCTTCGATACAAGGTTTGCGCATGGTTACCGTATCTTATGCAGGATTGAAGCCTTGGGGCTGTAGGCTCGAAGATTTAGCTTTCCATGGAAGCAGGTGCGTGCTCGCGCTTGCCTAGAAAATGCGAGGATAACAACAAATAAATCGCAACATTCACTGTAATCAAGAATTTCAAAAACAGTGGTGAAGCAATAGAGTGGCAACAAGAGTAGTTGGGCCTTGAGGATGCAGGGCGACAGCCAAAGCTGCCTTCTGCAGCACTGCCACGGCCTGTGAGGATGCTCGGTTGCTAGGGCTGCCGAACCTTTGGGGTCCGGGTTTCCCTGTGCAGGTTTCGAAAGCTTGAGGTGGTCCAAGCATTCATAATTTTCGGGTCGTCCGAGGGTTCGGGGATTCGGGTGTTAGGGTTTCACAGTTTCGTGGCAGCTTGTCCTCAGCATACTGCCATTCTGCGAGTTGGTCGACTCCCTAGCTGTCGGCCTCGACATCTGCGTCTCGGATTGCGGTCCGGCCAACTTGGCGTCCAGAGACGGCAAGCTCCCGCTGCTTCTCGCGCCAGGCCTTGCAGGGAAAGATCGCGCGAGCGCGTAGAAGGTGCGCAAACAGCGTGCACCATTCTAAGGCCTGCATCATCTCCTTAAACTCAGCGGAATAGGGCGGCGCCCCAGGAGGTGGTGCATCACGAAGCACACCTGTCACACATCTGCTTTGACTCATGTTGACTTTCCCGGTTCCAGAAATGGGCTTGCCTAACTACGAGAAAGCAAAGAAGACCTTCTCTAGCTATGCGGCTATGCCTGAGGATTCCCCACATTCGGCACTTCTGAAGCGAAGTTGATAGTCGCCTCAGAGTCTGAGAGAAGGTGCCAGAGGTGCCAGCGAGGCAACTTGTCTCAGGACCGGGCCAAAGACCATCTCCATGGCTATGCTCGTGTTTTCGCCGGGCCGGACCTGGCCGCGGGCCGTCAGATTTGGTGAGCACTTGGGAGCCCAGCCATGCCCACTGCCTGGGCCGTTCCCACCAGCTCCGCCGCTGCCTGAAGCCGATTGGAAACGAGGGCATTCGGCTCTCACAGCCATAGGGCACCGCCTGCCCCCAACAGGTTGCGGCATGTCGGCCATCCAGCTGAGTTGGTGCATTCGTCAGCACCACGGAGGGATCCTCAGCATGTGCTGGCACTTCTCTCCTTAAGTCTTCCGCGATACCTCGCCCAGAACCCCTCGTTTCCTCAAGAACGAAGCCACGCAGGCATGCGCAGGCCAGGAGCGACACTTGCCATGTGTGACCCACATCTCAGCCGTTCGACAAGGAAGCCAAGAGCCAAGTCTCGGTCTGGCTCAGTTGGGCTTCGAACCACCTCTGTTTCAGGTGCGTGGGGTAATCGCGGTTCCGTCACCCACTTCCAAAACGGCCCAGATCTCAGCCCCCTGCCATAAGACCATGTTGCAAGTGCCAGCGGCGATCCCCGGGAAGCTATACTGTGCTCGTGCTGGGATGTCATTCACGTCTGCCTTCGGGCGGAACGCCAAAGAGTCGCGCAAGGTTTGATTCGCTGTTATTTTGTGAAAGCCCTCGCGACACGACTGATGCTTTGATGCCACCTGCCCAAGCTCGACTTCGAAAAGCTCCACTGGCTCCGTGAGCACCTTGAAGTCTCCTGCGCGCAGCTGTCCCTTGATGCCAGATGGTGCCAGATAGCCTACAAGAAGCCAACAAAACGAAGACTGCACCTCTGTGCCTCTGTGTGACAAGGCTCCTTCTTGCTTGTCCAGGTCGACACCCAGCCAAAGCGCACTGCCAAATGCCCGATCTGTGGGCCAGAAGGGCCAGAAAGCATCGATGTTGACACCGTCGATAAATGGAAGCTTGACCTCCGGATGAAAGCAAGTGAGATGCTGCATGATGCTGTCACTCGAAGTAATAGAACCATTCTGCAAGCATGCGCCTCACAGAGCACTGCTCTCAGTCGGAGCCGGGCTGGTATGACTGCGGCGTTCTGCTTGCAAAGGCGCCGCTTCGAGCCCTGGCAGCCCGACCGTGCTTGCGCACTCTCACAGTCTCCCATCTCTACTTCAAGCATCTGCAAGCCGTTTCCCACCTCGGTAAGAAGAATCAGGTTCCTTACGAGCAGAAACACCAGCGGTGGGCAAGAGTTGCGCGATGGCACCGACCGGACCCGCTCCGGCACCTGTGCTGCTTCCAAGCATCTCACCGAGCCCAGAGGCATCCATTAGCTCACTGACCAAGACATCGAAGCGGCGCTGTTCCGGCAGCTCTGGAACACCCCTTCCAACATGGGTTTCCGTCCGTTAAGCCACTTCCAAGTAGGCACCACACTGCTATGATATGCTACGACACTTCATAGTCATCTTCGCACCGAACCCTCTGCTCACCCCACGTTCGGACACACTTCGTAGCACTCCCTCCAGTGCTGCTCATCAATCGTGTGTGCCGTGTGCCTCACATCAGTGCACCAGATGTCCAGCGGTCCAGCGCCCAGTGCGTTACAGGATCGGTTTGCCAAGATGACGTCCTCCAGGACTCCAGGCTTCAAGCACGTGTGCCCCATCCTGGAGTAGTTCTGCACAGGGCACCAAAAGGAATCCCTCCTCCGATGCTCGAGCGATCTGCGTGACGTACTCAACTCCTTAGGTGCACAATGATGGATCCTGTGCCTTTTCCTCGATTTCGGTAGGCTTGACGAGTCTCCTGTTCCCGCAGTCGCCCCAGCTCTGATGGCCATCATTGACAAAATACCTCAGGAGCGAACTTTGAGTAGGCTTCAAGCCCTGTCTGTGCCATCACTGTTCCTCGTTCTTCTCCGCACCGTTCTAAGCCCTTCACTTGTGGGAGCTGCTTCGTTGCTGCTCCGGTGTACCATTGCATGATGCACCGATGCGAAATGCCCAGACAGCAAGATTGATCTGATGTGTCATGAGACGTGCGCCAGGATACCGTCACCACTACCAACGTCCAAGACTGTGCAACCATCGGCATTCTTCTCCTGCCGGCAACCGGGCAACCGACAAGCTAACTGGTCAAGGTTTGCCGGAAGACTCATCGCCTTGACCTTCGCAATCTCCACTTGCAGTGCTCGCTCATACAGGTCATGCCTGCTTTTGTGTGGAGGCACAAAGAAGAGCTTAGTCTCTGCCTGCAATCTCAATCCCTGGCCTGGCAGAGTCCCGTAGCATCTCGAAGTACCACTCCGACAACGACATGTATCCGAATGGTGGCACTGCACTCTTAGCCTGCAGAAAAGCAAGCACAGAGCCGGGTTGTGATGTCATGGATGCCCTTGCCAGTATGCGGAAACACACAATACGACATGCAGCGTAGTCCCAATCAATCCAAACTCGGCCGTCGTTCCGCCAAGCCGTGACACCCGAGACAACCTCATCTCACATGTGCTCACATCCTTGGGCTACTCAGAAGACAATGGACATCAGAGACTTCAAGAAAATGCACTTCCAAGTTGGGTCCCTGCAGTCTTGGCTTCAAGTTTGAGATACTGACGATTGCCGGCTGCATCCTGGTAACTTGACCAGCATGTAAAGGCAGACCGCCCGCCATCCACTGTGCGAAGCGCTCGGAGGTGCTTCTGCCAGACCTCGGGGCGACAGCACCGTGCCAGACGGCACTCAATCCTGAGCTTCAGAGCCGAGCTGCGGAAAGAGGATCTCGGCTTGGATGATCGCAACTGATGCCTTGCCAGTGGCTGTTGCTTGGAGGTGGACCGGCACTGGGCCATCCTCCGCATCGTCTGAAAGCTGCCACTCCTCGAAGTCTCCGAAATGACTATCACACTCTCTGTGCTGACTGCACTCCCTCGACGTAGGTCTTTAGTAACTTAGTAGCAGGCAAAGACGGGTGCCGAGAAGTCTGTCATCAGCACCTCCATGGAGATCGTGATTATCTAGCAATACCCCCTGACACAGAAAAACATGTTCACACCCTCAACGTGCTGTGATGTGCACCGGCTTCAAGGCGGTTGCATGCGAGGACTCCTCCATGCTGACCTTAGCAGAGCCGCACGGGGCTGCTGGAAAAGGCTCAACCCTGGATCTGGCATCGCCACAAGCCTCTGTTTTGCCAGCCAGGCCTTCATAGGAGCAGCAGATAGTGCACGAAATCCTCAAGTCACCCAGCACCACTACATCCACTGCTTTCCTCAATGCCCTCAATGCCTGCGCTGAAATCGACATTTTCGTGACTTCAATGCTAAGCCAGGCCACGGGCATCCATGGCGGTGAGGTCAAAGTCCGATGCCTTCAGACCCGCGTCTGCCAAAGCCACGGAAATTCGCACTGCAGCCGGAAGGATCCGCCCTTGGCTGAACACGTGCATGGTGCACAGACAGACAGACAGACAGACAGACAGACAGACCGACAGACGGACAGACGGACAGACGGACAGACAGACAAACAGACAGAGCCAGCCAGGCAGACAGACAGACACGTCCGCGCGCACAAACCACAAACAACAAAACACAAAACACAGCAACCGCAACCACGGCCACAAACACAAATGTCGTGTGTCGGGGCATCTGGCGTGCTTGTTTAGGCAACAGCAAGGGTACATTTTTGGATTGCTATTTACTGGTGCTCGCAGGTATTTGCGACATCTCATGCCCGACGTGTCCTAGTTTCCCGTGATGGATTTTCAGATTGATTTGTGGTTTTGCAACTTCGCAAGCACAGCTAGGACTGGGAGCGGCTAGGACCAACAACGAACCGGGTGCATCAAGCAAAATTTAACAGCAGGCATCAGCATCCAGCGTCGACGTGATGGACGACGAAAGCACCATTAACATCATCATATGGATGCTGGTGTCGGCGTGCCTGCTCTGACCAACGGATGCACGGTTGTGTTGGCATGGTTTTGGCATGGGTACTCTTACCATCAGATGCACTGGAGTCCGAGCACCACTTCATGATAACATCGATGTCGCAAGTGCAGCGGTTGATCAAAGCTCTGAAGCCGGAAGAGGCACGTACAAGCCTCTACAGGCCGTCTGCAAACAGGCAGCCTCCGCAACGCAAGCCTCCTTTAACCCCGAAACCAAAGTCAACCCTTGTTGTGCAGTTGCGCCGTGTGCCTTCTAGTTTCGTGGGTTCAACTGCAGACTGCATGGACTGTGAAGAGAAGCGTCCAATAGATGCCGCAGCAGCGGCCTTCCTCAGGCACTGCGCCGGCCCCCAGCCTGAGCTTATGGCATCTTATGGCTAATTTCCTCGAGGCCACTGCATCCGAGCCGAGGAGCTGAACAAACCCGAGCCATGCCATCGATCCACGACAACCACATCCCAGGGCCCTGATGGGATGGCTTCCGAGGTGATCTCACAGCGAGCGACCTCTCGCAGGGGATCGCCGCCCAGTCCGCACATACGTCTGCACAGTATGAAATCAAATTGAACCAGCGGATGATGTCACAGGACCGCAAGTGGGGTTGTATAATGACCCCGTATACAAAACACCTTATCACTACATGTCGTCATCGGCATTTGTTTGTCTTACCGTTTTGTCCTTGCAAATTGTGTTTGCCGTCGTTATCGTTTTAGTTTCTTCTTATTATTTTACTATGGAAAACCATCCAAAACCGTACAGGGACATGCCAAGACCAAACCTCAAGGCGCGAGGTTATTATACAATCCCAAGTCGTAGCAGACAAGAAACGTCCATCACTACGCATGCGAATCTGGACGACCAATGCCTATAGTCAGCCATTGTAGTAGCATCGCAAGTACTAGTGCAGACAGAAAAGCTGAGGATACTAAGTCTTAAGTTGTTAAACTGAAGCTTAGTATAGTGGGAAGTGTAACAAGTGTAACTACTAATCGTAATACTGTAGCGACCTCGCGCGACAAGGGATGCGGAGACACTGATGTGAGATCAGACTGTGCGTAGTTGCAAAATATCTGCTTTGATACATGCATGTATGCATGCATGCATGCATACATACACACGGACAAACACACATGGGTCATGCATATATGCATACGTACACAAATACACGCACGCACACACACACACACAAGCATTGCAGTCAAGGCAATACCAGCACAAGCATCACAGGACCACAAGCTGACAGACCAAAAGCATGAGACATTCTTCAAAAGATAGCTGGATGTACAACAGCCTGCGAATACAGTACTGTAGAATGAACGGCACTATGACCGACCGGAGCTGGCCTGTTCTGGAAGATTCCGGCGCACAACCTGGGTCGACAGGGCGCTATGTTTTTCATCTTACACAAAATTAAAAAAGTACCAACTGGTAAAGGACGTATGGTTTCTAGGTGTTTCACGTGATCCACACACCAAGACCATGCTGGGCTCCCGCCTCCTTTGCGACCGCCGCGACGTGGGGCAGGGGCTCCCACAGCACGACCTGTGCAGCACCAGCTCGAAGAGCAGACACGGCTGACACACCTCAGCGGCGCGATGGCGGCTACAGCAAGGTCTAAAACCCGAAATTAGAAGGCGATCCCTATCGGCCCTCACTGCCCCAACGAATCAACGTCCACGGCGCCGTTTCCGCCGAGCACCAAGACCTTTGCCGACTGCTTTTTCTCGAGCTCTCGCTGGAGCTCTTGTGATGTGCAAGCCAGCAGCTGGCTAAGGGGTCCTCCCAGCGCAGCAAGGCACCCCCCCCATCCACTTTTGCCGAGAGGAGCACTGTTCCGTGCCGATCTACTTCTCTTGCGACATCTTGCGACATTGTCCCGCGCCATCTTGTGCGGACTAAACAATGGTAAGAACATGCCTGCGGCAATGGCCTTAGTGCTTCAAACATCAATGCTACATGTGCTGTCGCAGACTTGCCCAGTCTTCCTGTCTGTGCCAGCTCTCTTGCTCGCGATGGAAGCGCATCAATCTCGGACATGCGTCTCGCATGCTCAAGGAGCCTGCCAGCGACAATGCGATTCGAGTCGGAATCTTGTGCGCAGATTGTGTCTTGATTGTGGCTTCATATGGCTTCATCGGGCCTGCCTGCCCGGCCCTTCAGAGCACCATTGACTTGGATCTTCGAAAACTCCTGCACGGAATGAAGACGAAGAATGACTATGTCCGCCGATGCGACGCATATCTGCAGCCTGGATTGTCCAGCAATCTTCGAAGTGCTGCATCTCCGTCAACGGTGCCAGACAAAGCAGTGGCCGTCTCGGTCAAAGCATCTGGCCTTTTCGGAACAATGGGTCAAAGATGCTTGAAATAAAACCAGAAGGGATTCTTCTCTGCACAATCTCACGTGAGTTCGATGTTGTCCGGATTCATACTTCCCAAGAGCAGCTGAGAGACGTAAGTGGAGTCCGCAGAAGTTCCGTTCGAAACTCCAGTCGGTGCTTCAGAAGGGACTCTTTGCAAGCAGCAAACGCCTGCAGCACGCCCAACATCGCCCAACTGTTACTCATGGCACGACAGAGCTTCTAGATTCTACTTGCATGAACGAAAGAAGAAGAGATCCCTGAAGTCCCAGGCCCCTTCGTTTGAAAGCCTCTTACACAAGCTATCGCAAAGTGTCATGAAGCCACACCGAGTTGCGACGAGAACTGCAGCACGTTGCACAAAGCTCTATTAGAAACAGCACAATATAGCACAATCCAACGCAGTCCTGTGTGTCTGTGTGTCCGTGTTTGTGTGTCTGTACCTGTGTGCCTGTGTCTGTGTGTCTCTTTGTGTGTGTGTGTGTATGTGTGTGTGTGTGTGTCTGTGTCTGTGTGTGCGTGTCTTGTGTCTCTGTGTCTCTGTGTCCCTGTGTCTCTGTGTCTCCGTGTCTCTGCGTCTCTATGGGCGTGTGCGCATGTGCCTGTCTCCCGCTTTGTGTGTGTGTGTGTGTTTGTTTGTTTGTGTGTTTTGTGTGTGTGTGTGTGCGTGTGTGTGTGTGGTGTGTGATGTGCGTGTTTGTATATATATATATGTGTGTGTGTGTGTGTGTTGTGCGTGTGTGTTTGTCTGTGTTTGTGTGTGTGTGTGTGTTTGTTTGTCTTTGTGTGTGTGTGTGTGTGTTTGTTTGTCTTTGTGTGTGTGTGCGCGTGTTTGTATGTGTGCGTTTTGTATGTGTGTGTGTGTGTGTTTGTATGTGTGTGTGTGTGTTTGTGTGTGTGCGCTCGTATATTTATATATATTTATATTTATATAGTTATATCTCTGTGTGTGTGTTTGTCTGTGTTTGTGTGTGTGTGTTTGTTTGTTTGTCTGTTTGTGTGTGTGTGTGTTTGTCTCTGTGTGTGTGTGTGTTTGTGTGTGTGTGTGTGTTTGTTTGTGTGTGTTTGTGTGTGTGTGTTTGTTTGTCTGTGTGTGTGTGTGTTTGTGTTTGTGTGTGTGTGTGTCTGTGTGTCTGTCTATGTGTGTGTGTATGTTCGTTCGAGTGTGTCTTCGTGTGCTCGTGTTCGTGTTCGTGCTCATGGTGGTGGCGGTGGTCGAAAGTACATGTGTCTGTTTCGCACCAACCGCAAACGAAAGGATCTGCAGATCTGTTTTTGTATAATGTTTCTGCGTATAGACGCGGCACTGAGCACACAGCAGGAGTCGAAGAACCCGGCAGCGCAAGTACACGCAGAATTCCCATAATGTTCAGGTCCCAATGCTTCCGTGACGAGAGATGCCTGCTCTTCCAACAAGACAAACACAATTGCGGCCTCGGCAGCATCGCGCCGTAGGCGTTCTTCCCTTTGCTTCAGCTCCGTCCAGGTGCTGCTTTCCACGTGCCTTGTCCACACCTGCGACGAGACGGACCCGACTCTACTCTACTCAACCTACTCTTAATACTAGTAGCGCTACGATGTGTTGTCAATTCGAGTTGGTGTACTTCAGCATGCCGACACCTGCGGTATCGTGCCGTTGGCTCCACTCACCATTGCCCTAAGACATAGGACCTGTCGCTGAAAACCAGAGTTGTAATGACTCTCGCTAACAGGCACTACTTTCTCACAGAAAACACTTTCCACGACCCAAACCCTCAACCCTGAACCAAAGCTCAACATCCCGCACACTGCACAAGCTCTGATTCTTGAGCAGATGGCGTCTCATCGTCTCATTCAAGAATTGTTGAACTGCTTCCTCTGCAAAACCGCCGTATGGACGCTGTTTGTAGTCTCCAAGTCGCATAAGCTCAATTGTTAGGATAATATGTCGCGGACGCCGTGGCTTGAAGTGATTGCCGTCGCATCTTGGTCCGGATTCTGTGTGCGAAGCCCCAGTGTGGACGCTGTTTTGAATCTTGGAATCTCTAAGTCTTCAAGTCGCGTAAGGTGCGTTATCAGGATGTGTGACGTGTCGCACACGCTATGCAGTCTAGAGTGCGTTTGGCACCGATTCTATATGCGATTCCCCAGTGCGGATGCTGTTTGTAGTCTCCAGGTCGCGTAAGCTGTGTTGTCGGGATATGTCGCGGAAGCTGCGGTTCCAAATACTTTTCATTGCAATCAAGAGTGCATGCTGGTCCCGATTCTAGATGCAAGACCCCAGTGTGGATGCTGCTTGTACACCCCAAATCGTAAAAGGTCCATTGTCAGGCTATGTCGCGGGTGCTGGTGTTTCAAATTCTGTTCATTGCAAGCCACAGTGGATTGTGCTTAGCTTTTTACAATGCCTATTTTCTAGTCTTCTATGTGCAAAAAACAGTATGTAATGACTGTTCTCTCTTATCATCACAACCCTTCACCTGCCTCTGCGGAGGCCTCAACAAAGCTGGCATGTGCCAGTTGCTTCTCCCGGAAGAACTGCACCGCAGCAATGCCGGCATCGCGATCCTACATGCTGAACATGCAACATGCTGCACAAAGAAGCCTTGGCACCTCAAACCAACCTCAATCCCCATGCGCACAAACACGAATCGGCAGAAGTTGGGATCAAGCGTCCAAGGCAGAACTTGGGCCGGGCGGCACTTTCCAGTCAGCTGATGCCTCGGACTGGGTCACTAGGCTTTGAATAGAAAGGCCCTTGTTAGGCAAACGAAACGGGATCTCGTGTGGAAGAAAACTGCAGCAGCAACAAACCAGCCTCTACATATGCCCATAAAGACCAACACACAGAGTCCGATAGAAATACGGACAAGGATTGGGATAGGGACAGGGAAACAATAGAGCTGCCGATGCATATGTGTAGATATGTGTGTGTGTGTCTGTATTCGTATCTGTATATGCATATGATATGTATACGTGTGCGTGCAATCTGTGCAAGTCCGGCACCCCATTTCAGCCGGAGCCTGGGGGGACGTCCAACTGCCTAGCGGCCTGCAGGGATGGATGTTTGGCGAATCGTGCATCCCGAGATGGTAACCGGGTGTCAAGTCCTATTTCGATCCGGTGTTGAGCAAGCGCTCCATGTGCATACGCCGTCACTGCACATGGTAGTGATTGGCACTGCTGCGTTCGAGTGTTAGCGGTGTGGGGTGTACACATTGCAGTTTGCCTGTCCCCCCTTTTGGGGAATATGTTCAGGCTGGGATTTCTCGCTTGCTTGGTGCTTGCATGTGCCTGTGCTTAGTTTCGAATGGCATTCATGGGTAGCGCCATGCCGAATGGCTCTGCAGGAGCGTCGCTTTAATTTTGATGATGGTTCTGATTTTGGTTGCTTCAGCGTAAACTGTTTGGAGCGAGGGGTTACGCTTTGGGGCTCTTCGTACTCTCGCTCGCCCCCGTCGGTAGCCTGACTACTGCTCGGCCCATAGGGCTTGTGCAAACAGGTGCCAGCAGGTTCACCAGATTTCATTCGATGCAGCTGGCGCGTTCACTGAACACAAGCCATCCCAAGAAGATGATGTAAATTTCACATTTTGGCATATGCGTCTGCAGCATTTACGTTTGTGTTGTGCGATGTGTGCTGTATGTATGTACATCTATTGTGCCTGTGTATACTACTGCCTACACTGGAATTACCTTGTCAACCCTTTGTTATTAGTACATGATATCAAATGATATTCTATTTCGTTTTATGAAAAGTACGAGCATGTGTTGTGATGCTATGCAGGATTTTGCTTCAGCCTAGGTACTACATGAAACTCTCTGCCAGATTCTACGACCTGCTCATCACAAAACAACCGACAAAAAGGCCACACCAGTGCAACCCACAAGCAGCACGTTGCCTGCGCCGACACGCCTCCACCTGTGCTCCGCTCCGTAGGGTAGCCAGAGGCCTAGAGCAGCAGGCCCTACCATTCTCGATGAAACATGAAACTGACTAGACTAACAACAGTAGTTTGTCTGAAGTCTGGAGGATCCATTGGGGAGGGACAGTCGCAGGCTTACCCCTTGCGGCTGCTCCAGCGGATGCGCGGATGTGGCGTGCGATGTGCATGACCAGAGTGTTCCGTTTTGGCATCTCCCTGGCGCATTTGGATATTAGGGGGGCCTTTCTTGCGGAAACCTGCATCTCCTTGTCTACATCGTTCATCACTTTGAGATTACACTGCAGATCAACATTCGATGCGACATTCCATGAAGGCCATTGAAGGCACGCCATGAGACTGAGTGTAATCCCTGTAACTTCTAAGGCAGAAATGGGAAGCACAGGAACAAAGAAGACAGCGAGAAGCAAGCAACCGTCGAACTACGTCGAGATCAACGTGACACGGGCTTGAATATGTGAGCATTGCACTGCGCCCTGCTCAATACAAGGCCCAACTGTTCACGCTTTGTCTCTGCGACTCCACTGATGCATCCATGTATGTGGGACACAGACGCGCGTGCTCGCTCGAATACTCAGCCCTGGACTGAGTCTGTCAACTTGC